TTAGTTTTGGATGACTTTTTTATTGATTATTGAAGCAGCTTTCTAGTAATAAAATTTTAGAAAGCTGCTTCAAGAAGCAGTAAAAAAGTAGTTCTAAATGAAACCTTAATCATGATATATATAGCTTTTAATTAATTAAAAAATCTCTTAATTTAAACATAATAAAAATTTATGTTAATTTTTCTCAAGCCCTAAACCTATATTGTTGAAACTCGTTCACTATGAATTAGGTTGTTAGACCTAAGTTAATGTCCCAAGGCTAACCAAGAAGGGGGGGGACAGAGAACCGGACCGATGTTGTTGAACTTCACTTGAGAGCCTTCAGAGGAGATGGGCAGAAACTTGAAGGAAACAAAGAGATCTTCACTTTAAGTAACCTTGTGAATCCCTCACAAACCCCTCACTTGATCTCTCACTCTTCACTCATACAATCTCTCCCAAACACTCACACTCAATGATCCCTCTCAAGAGAAAACAACTCCAAAGGCTTCAATTTATAAAGGATTGCATGCTGAATTTGATTTGAAGTCTTCGTAGTTTGGAGTTCGATTTTCCTGAAATGTTAGTACACACAAGAGCAAAAACAAATCTTCCAAAAAATGTTAGGAGATAACTACACATAAAACAAAAATATTTGGAATCATCAAAACTATACAAGTTGCAAGAATGTAAAACATGCAAATAGCAACTCTCTTAATATATATAGCTTTAATTAATGTATGCAGAATACAAAATTTTATTTTTCTTATTAGGTTTTTTTCATAAATATTTCCAATTAATCTTTTTTTTGTTTAATTTGGGCTTCTTTTGTGACAATTTTTTTACTGCTTTCTAAAGTAGCTTTTGAATTTTTTTTTTTTGGAAAATTATGGGCTTAGCCCGTTTTCATTTATATAAACTAGTTACAAGTAAGGAAATAAAACCAGTAAGCAAAGACCTAAGATGCTAAAGCAAAAACCCCAAAAAAAGGGGAGATGACAAAAATCCCCTATACAATAGATAATAATAAAAAGTTGAATACAACGAAAAAAGCTCAAAGAGCGGCTCTCAAAAATAAACCCAATCAGGGAGTGTGAGGAAAAACCATTGGGCTCAAGAATTGCAACTCTCTCAACCTGGTTGCTGAAGAATAACAGTCAAAGCTTTATTGCCGTCCAAAGGAGAAAATAACAATTCTATCATCCTTGCCCACTATCCGCGACATTGTTGGCTGTGAAACGCATAAGACAACAGAATTGAACTAGTGGAGGCCACCAGTTTACCAACAGAGAAACCAACCATAGCAACAACGGCCAAATGATTCTCCCTTATCAGCAAATACCCATTTTTTCCATTTCATAACCTTAGTGAAAACAGCAGCCTTAATTTTAAGAGCTAAGGTAGTAGCAGATACAGAAATGTTGTCAAACCTCCTATTATTTCTTTCTCTTCATATATGATAAACCGAGCAACAAATAATTAGATAGTAAAAATCCTTGATCTTACTACGCATCTCATCAATAAACTAAAAAATTTGTAATATGTTTGGCCTCAGAAGCAAATATCCCAAATTGCTCATAAGTTTAGAAAGGATTGAGAAAGAATAGTCATATTCAAAAAATAAATGGGTAACAGTTTCGTTAATGTTGTGACATAAAGAGCATTTTACATCCATGTTAATCCCCTTGGCTATTAGGATATCATCAGTCTTAATGCCCCCAATTAAAGTCATTCAGCAGAAAGAAGAGAATCTAAGAGCATACTGCTTATGCCAAACAAAATGATACCAATTAACCTTGGCATATATAATCTTTAAAATGAAACTCCCTATAAGCACTATGTTTGCATATATTACCTGTACCCCAAAATAGGTTATCATGAGTATCTGGGAGCACAGAGATATCAGAAAAAACATGGCCAACTGCTTCAGGCAATAAAGCAGGCAAATTCCACCCATTACCATTCAGAATTACTGATAGTTTAACATTCATAGGGAAGAAGTTAAGAATGGGTTGAACCTCCACTACTTCATATAAGCATTTATCATTCAACCAGTGATCCCAATAGAGAGATAAATTAGAGTTTGGAGATACCCTAAAATGAAAATTTTCTTTGGCAAATTTGGCATCCATACAAACACTTTTCCAAAAGTTAGAAGCTTTAGAAACATGTTCCTTCCAAGGTGAGACATATATATTAAACAACCACTTAGCCAAAGTGTTATGAGAATTGTAAATTCTTATAATGAGAGAGCAGTTAAAACTGAATTGAAGGGAATTCAAGGAAGGTAACCCAAGTCCTCCCACTTATTTTAGTCTACAGGTATTCCTCCAGGAAATTAAATGCAATTTCCTGCCGAGAGTCTCACCAAAATAAAGGAATTTAGCACATAACCTATCAATTTGCTTAACAATAGTTTTCGGTATTATGGCCCCACGAATCCAGTAAGTAATCGTATTCCAAATAGTGTATCTAAGAAATTGAAGCCTGCCAGCGAAAGATAAAGCTTTAGCCTTCCAACCAGAGAGTTTGTGGAACCCCAAGATAGATCATGCTAGATGAGGTAGCAGGAATATTAAATATAGAACAAATATTATCTGCTACTTGACAGTTAGGAGACAAGATGATGGAGCTTTTCCCAAAATTCACTTCCAGACCCGAAGCCATACATAAGTCCTTAAGAATTTGGGTAAGTCTCTCACAATTATTAGTATATGCTTTCCCAAATATAATCAGATCATCAGCATACATAAGGTGGGAGAACCTATAGTCCCCAATAGAGAGAGCTTCAAAGCTATTATCATTAGGGTTACAATAAAGCATACATGAAAATGCATCCATAACTATGCATAAAAAATATGGGCTTAAAGGATAACCCTGCTTAAGCTTAGAGGAGGAGGGGAAAAAACCCTCAAGTGCCCCATCAATGCATAAAGAAAACCATATATCCTTAATGCAAGCTTCACTCCACTTTACAAACTTTATAGGAAAACATTTTTGCACCATCCTTGCAATAAGAAATTCTCTAGATACACTATCAAAGTTTTTTTTATATCAAGCTTGGCACACATGAGCTTGAATTTGGAGGATTTCCTAGAGTGCAGTAGGATTTCATTGGCTAGTAAAACATTGTCAGATATCCTCTTTTGAATAAAACCGACGGCTTGATTGTCTTTAATAATATGAGGCATAATGGGTTTCATCCTTGCAGCCAAAACTTTTGCAATTATTTTGTAAGAGGTGTTACAAAGAGCAATAGGAAGAAATCAGTAATAACCTCAGCATGACTAGATCTAGGGATGAGAGTGATGGCGGTTGCTTTAGCCGTACGGGGAATATATATAAGCATTATTGTATAAATACTTAAACAGCATTACATACTGTAGCTCCAATAACCATCCAAGTTGATTTAAAGAACTCAAAGTTGAAGCCATCAGTATCAGGGGTAGAATTGGAAGCACCAGAGAAAACTGCTTTTTTGATTTCAGCTTCTGAAAAAGGGGCAATAAGAGAGTTAATAAATTCAGAAGGAATAACATTACCAAGAGGGAAGAGATTGATATCAAAATCCAGATTCTGAGGAGTATTAAAGAGGCTTTGAAAGTATGAGATGGAGTCATTAATAGACTCTGACATAGAGGAGTCAGCTTTAGACATTGCTAAGGAAATATCAGTTTTTTTATAACTCATCCTCAATCGAATTCTAGCATATAAAAATTTGAGATCATCCTCACCCTGAGATAACCATTTGATTTTTGCCTTTTGTTTAACCCAAGAAAACCACATAGATGAAGCAGCCGCCAATTTATGATTTATGCTTTTAAGCGCCAAAGAGGCTTGAACTATGTTTCCATCAGGATGCAAGCTACCAAGACAAGAATTTTGCTTGTCTTGTAGATTCTTGATATGATCTGACATCAAGTTAGAGATAGCCCATCTTTTCCCTCTAATTGCCACTTTGAGTTACTTAAGCTTAGAGCAAAGGTCTACAAAAAGGGGTCCCTTTTGTTTTGGCAGAGAAAATATCAAACAATAAGTACCAGAACTGCTCATATTTGGTCCAATAATTTTCGAAGAGAAATTGATGCTTAGTGGAAGAATTATCCCCAGGCAAGAGGAAAATAGAATTGTGATCAGAAACTCCAGGACATTTAATCATGTAATAAGAGTTGGGAAAGGAAGCCAACCAATCTTCATTTACCAACATACGATCCAATTTGATGTGAATTGGATAATCAGTCCGCTGATTGATTATACCAAGTATATGAAGGACCAACACAAGCTAAATCTTTAATATTAGAGTCGAAAAATGAAACTATTAAAGTCATGAAGCTGATTTTGATGTAGCACATTCCCTCCAATCTTATCCGAAGGAAACCAGAAGCAGTTAAAATCACCCATTAAAATCCAAGGAGTGCTCCTAAAAGGTGAAATGGTTCTTAAATCTTCCCAAAGAGCTTTCCTGTCATCCTAGTGATTAGAAGCATAAATCACCGAAAGAAGAAAGGGGGACTAGTACCAAAAATTACCGTCCCAACAACCATTTGAGAAGAGAAGAAGGAAGGCTTAAATGTAAGCCTATCAGGGGACCATTAATCCATATCCTCCCCGGATTAGCACAATGAAAATTATTGCAACTAATTTCCGTATCATAAACCAAGTGACTGTTGTAAAATCTTATGTCTAAGAGAGTCGAGAGCTGTATTCTATTCTCTAGCTTTTGAATATAAAATTTTTATTTTTTTAACTAGAAAGATTCTTTGAGAAGCAACAAGAAAGCCCAATTTAACACCGTTGTCTGTTGATCAACTGAGACTTTCTGCACCGCCTCAGTTATACAGTAGTGAATGAAAAGTTCTTAAATGTTATATCATAAAAATAGCATATCCAGTACATGACCTTCTTAATATAAAGATTATACAGGCTTATTTCTATAGCATAGAGAAACTATATTTTACTGAACTAAATCAATAACCTCCAAATCACATTACAGAAAGACTTTAATGCTGTCTGAACTTTTATATAAAGCCTCTCCCCTCTCACTTTCATGTACCTAACATCAGCTAGCCCTTCTCTTCTTCTTATTCTTCAGTCATGGAATCCTTCATGACTCTATTTATCTCCTTGCTTGAAATATTGCTAGCTCTTGGAAGCTGGACTGTGCCTTCTGAGGCCAAGGCTTTCTTCGTCTTCGGAGACTCCCTCGTCGATAATGGCAACAATAACTTTCTCGCAACCACTGCTCGAGCCGATTCGCCGCCATATGGCATCGATTACCCGACGCATCGGCCCACCGGCCGCTTCTCAAATGGCTTAAACATTCCAGATATTATCAGTAATCACCATTAACTCCTATGGTTTCTTTGCTAATATGCTTTGGTTGCTGAGCTTGTTGAGGTGAGTTTCAGGTGAGCAAATTGGCGCTGAGACTACATTGCCTTATTTGAGCCCTGAGCTGCGTGGGGAGAGATTGCTTGTGGGAGCTAATTTTGCTTCAGCTGGCATTGGAATTCTGAATGATACTGGCATTCAATTTGTAAGAACTGTTTTTTCTTTTTTTTTCTTTTTTAAAGTAAAATTCTCATGAAATCTGCTAAATCTGAGTGATTTGCTCGAAAATTTTTTGATTGAAGGAAGAGCTTGCATGAGTTAATACTAAAATTTTGTTTGGGACAATTTTATTCTTTATTTTTAAAATAGTTTTTTAGTACAAAAATTGAAAATTTTGTACTTAAAAACTATTTTAAGAAGCAGAACGAAAATTATCCCAAATAAAGCCTAAATTCAGCTAAACTTATTTGACCACTTCCACATGATTTGCTAATACAGTTTAATATCATAAGAATCAACAAGCAGCTGGAGTACTTCCAGCAGTACCAGCGGAGGCTGAGCTCTCTGATTGGTCCAGTTCAGAGTCAACATTTGGTCAACGGCGCTCTTGTTCTGATCACTCTCGGCGGGAACGACTTCGTCAACAACTATTATTTGGTGCCTTACTCTGCCAGATCTCGAGAATTCTCTTTGCCTGATTATGTTCAGTACCTCATCTCTGAGTATAAGAAGATTCTTGCGGTATATATATTTACATAAATCTCTCTTTTTTGTGTTTTTTTTTCGGGAGAGATTATTCTGTGCAGCGTTCAAACTCGTATGGAGGCGAATTCGGACATACCATATCACCTGATGCACTGGGTCCTAGGTGATGTGGCGCGTACGAATTCGACACCGAACACGTCCAGACGTCCCACAAAATAATTTTTCTTTTTTCGGTTGGTAGAAGACTTTCTTTATTGTGATGTTATATTAAATAATTTTTTAAAATAGCTATTAAATAAATTATACATTATTTATGCAAATAAAGAGATTAAAAAAAGTCCTAAAAAAATGTGTGTTATGATATCTTATATAATTGTATCTAAATATATTTAAAAGCTATTAGATTTGCTTTAAAAATAGTGCTGTATATAATTTTTTTTTTAATTTATTCTAATATAAATTATAACAAAATATCTATGCTTAATTATTTTTGAAAAATTCCCCATATTTGCATCAATTGAAAATTATGCTAAAAATTTAAAAGAAAAAATTTCGCAAATAGGCCCTAAATCTTACAGCAATTTAGGGCCTATTTGCGAAATTTTATTACTGCATTATTTTTCAAATTGTAACTACAATTTTATTTAATTACTATTTTTTCGTTGCTTTTAAAAAATTTAATATTAAGAATCTATTTCTTACAGCAATTAATAAAATTAATTTTCTCATAATAATTTTATAATCACATTTATAAAAATCTATAGTAATTTCAAACCCTTCTCAAAGAGTTGAGTCTATTTCAAGTAAAATTCTGCAAAATAGAATTTGTAAAAAAAAATAATAATAATAAAACTCGTTTGAGATAATTTTTTTGTTGTTGTTTTTTAAATAGTTTGTTAATTGTGTGTAAATCTCTCTTTTTAGGATGATTTACATACATACCATTTTATTTCATACGATTTACATAGCTATCACCTAAAATTTTAATATTACAGGCCTACCGCTTACAAGACAAATATGGGTGTAAATAATTCAATATTAAAGCTTATAGGATTATATAGGTTGTAAGAATGAAATATAAGAGTGATATATTTTTTTAGGTCATTTAAGACAAATTCATACACGCAATGCATACACAAAAACTCGAACTCAAGACCTCTTAGTTGGAAGCCTAAGCTCTCAACAAATAGGCCAATGTGAGCTGTATAAGAGTGATATACTTGATATCAAAATTTTATATAAATGATAGTAAAGTTTAAGATGTTATTAAATAGCATGAAATAAAGTGGTATTTGTGTAAATCCCCTTTTTAATTAAAAAAATAATAATTAAAATAAATTTTATACTATAAAATTATTTTAAAAAGCTGTCTTAAATAATCCTAAATTTGGACTCAATAGTTAGAAATTGATTTCTTAATTCTGAATTTTCTGCAGAGACTGTATGAGCTGGGAGCCAGGCGGGTTCTGGTCACCGGCACCGGTCCACTAGGCTGTGTGCCGGCCGAGCTTGCCCTAAGAAGCCGAACCGGTGACTGTGACCCGGAGCTCGAACGGGCCGGGGATCTCTTCAACCCACAGCTGGTCCAACTCTTGGCGGATCTCAACCGTCAGATCGGAGCAGACGTTATATATATATATTATTTTTTTAATTATATTTCATTTAAAATAAAGGAATTATAAATTAAAAATTTTTAGGTATTAGAAATAATTACTCATATTCTATATATATTTTTTCTTAAATTTAGTGAAGTCAAATCTGTCACATTTCATTACTATTGATATATTGTCCGCTTTGGTCTAAGCCTCACAATTTTGTCCTCTTGGTGTAACTTCTCAGTAGGTCACCCATCTCATAATTGCTCCAGAATGAGCACGATTAACTGCGGAGTTTCTTGCAAAAATTTCAGCCATTGCACCAAAAGGTGTATCGATGTTTAAGAGTTTAGCTTTCATTTACTTAAGGGATTTCACAATCTCCCCACCACAAAAGCTTGTCATACAATTGCCCATCCCAATTTTTTTTTTAGAATAATGAACCTTTTAACTATTTTACCTATCTTCAATAAATGCAATTGCTCAAATTCTTTTAAAACTTTTTATTTTTCTATTTCATACGTTTAAACGATATATTTCACAATCTTATTTTGACAACTCTAAAAAACAGGGCTTGGTTCTGCCTCTGGCATCTTATATGCAGTTTGAATAAATTATCGCCATTTTCAAGAGGGGAAAAAATATCAATAAGATATATTAGATGACGAGTTGACAACGAGAGTGATAGTGATTAAAACTTACAGAGAATATATTATATACTATCAATGAACTAGTTCGTCGGAGATACACAGTCCGTGAAAATGTATTTCTGCCGACGATACTGACGACTCACCAGCCGAACAAACATTTGCGATAGTGAACAAACATTACTTTCTCATAATCATTATTTTGAATGCAATCAAACATCATAGAAATCAAATGTCACTATGCATTATTATCAAAATGCATGCACTATATATATGCTTCATGATCATTTGGCTTAATGTTGATGAGGTGACTAATTTTGCAGGTTTTGTAACATCAAAAATTGCATGCTGTGGACAAGGTCCATATAATGGAATTGGCCTTTGCACAGTGGCTTCAAACTTGTGCCCAAATAGAGATATTTATGCTTTCTGGGACGGATTCCACCCATCAGAGAAAGCAAATCGCATCATTGTTAGCCAATTCATGACTGGTTCAGTTGAGTACATGAATCCAATGAACTTGAGCACCATATTAGCCATGGATGAGAAGGCTTAATTAGAATTAATCAACTTTGGCTGAAGATTTTAATCATGCTATTATATTATTATAAAATAATTAGTATGTTTTTAATGAAGTTTTACTTACTTAGGCTTCATTTGGGATGGCTTTCCAACTATTTTTTAAAGTAGTTTTTTAGTGCAAATATTTAAAATCTTTGTACTAAAAAGCTGCTTTAAGTAGTAAGAAAGCAGTCCCAAACGAAACTTTAGTTTGTGGTTAGTTGTTTCTGTAATGTGGCCATGTGAGAAGTGAAGTGTTCTTATTTTGACATTTAATAATTATGGCTTCAGCAAAATTCCATGTTTATGTGATTGTTCTTTTGGTTGTTACTAAGCTAATATTTTGTTTATTTATGGGGTTTTTAATGAAAATAAGTTTGAAATGTTCGTTAACTTTCAATTAAGATTTTATTTGGGATAACTTTCTTAATGCTTTTCAAAAGAGTTTATTAATTAGTTCAAAATTATATTGAATTTGAAATTTTTGTTCAAGAAAGCTGGTTTAGAAAGTAAAAAGAAAGCTATCTCAAACGAAGCCTCAATTAAAATTTGACTCTTATAATTTTAATAAAATATTCTAATATTTTGTAGGCAAAATTTTTAAAAGGATCATAGCTAATGATTAATTAAGTACTATGAGTGTCATTATGATTAAATTTAAATGGAATGATATGATTTAAATAAAAATAATATATTAATAAATATAAAGATTTAAATATTAGACATCTAAATATATAAAAATTGTAGGGTATATATATGTAAACCCCCAACCTTTTATTTTAAAAATATTCAATTATCAAGATGCATGTAAAATATTATTGATGTATCATAAAAAAATTATCTTAATCGGGCACGAATCTCGAGGCAAAAAATTCAATTGGAAGCTTCAAGAATTAAATATAGGGAACTCCGATTTCAGTAAACTTACAGTCAAACTGATTGTCTCGGAAACACGAACCCAACGACACCAAATTCAGCTCAATCCGAGCCCAAATGGGTCCGAATCGAAGGCTCGAAGCACATTCCGAAGGTTCATTCCATAATTTGGATTACCAAACAGTTTCCAAATATAACATGCTTATAGTTGAATCGAGCGACTCGACGAGACGAATCCAACGAGCTTAAGATCGCCAAATTATATTTCCAGCAATTTTATATTTAAATTTATATTTCCATTGCAATTTTATATTTAAATTTTAAAGTAATAATATTATTTTTTTTGTTTTTACTTTTACTTTTTTATTTTTATTTTGTTTGTATTTTATTGTGAAATAAAAATATACTGAGCATCTTTAATAAATATCATTTTTTTATTATTTAAAATTCATAAGACGTTAATGACGACTAGCCGGGGGTGTCTTTGAATCTTCTTGTATTCCAATGACTTACAATATCTCTATGATACAACCCTTTACCCTTCTATATATAATGCAATCATAAAGGTTCATGAATAGACTTATGCACCTTAATGTTAAAGGGTTAGGATTTCATGACTATTTTGGACTTATTTCTTGACTAAAAGAAGATAATTAACTAAGGCTTCATTTGGGACGACTTTCTTGTTGCTTCTTAAAGCAGTTTTCTATTATAAATACTTTAGTTTTTGTATTAAAAAGTTGATTTAAGAAGCAACAAAAAAGCCGTTCCAAACAAAACCTAACCCTCCAATTGCTTTGAAAATCATGTCATTTAAGGCTTCGGTTGGAACAGTTTTCTTACTGTTTCTTAAAGCGACTTTTTAATTTAAAAAAATTGTGTACTAAAAAATAACTTCAAGAAGCAGAAAGAAAGCCGGCCCAAACGAAGCCTCCTACGTTATACAAGTTATAATAGCTACTGCAATTTATTAGAAAACATGACATAAAACCCCGCCACTTAACCTGTGATTACTGCTCTTCTTCAAAGTTTCTATTAGGTTAGGAATCAAGCAAACTACAAACCACTTCCTTTCCTTCAATATTGCATATTGACCAACATGCAATGTCTACCAACAGAGCTATTATTATGTTCGGACACCGGACGGTTCTCACGTCCGGTTATGCTTAGGTACCGAACGGTACCGAGCGCATACACAAAGGGTGATGTGACACATTTTTATTGGTGTCTCCAGACGCCATCCGTACTCCGCACAGAATAACAAATCCTACCAACAAACGATATCTTCCAATCGTCCATTGTCAATTCACAATCTGAGCGTTTCTCGCTGTATTAGAAAAAATAGTCATGCCTCATATCATTATTGTTTGACTTGAAACATCCTCCACCGATCGAAAAATTATAGTCATGCCTCATATCATTATTGGACAGAGTACCAAGGGTACCGCGGTCCTTAGTTTTTCCTTATATTCGACGAACGACCAAGATAAACATTCATATATGGTCACCTATTTAATATGACTAATACACTTTTTATCTATTTAATATGAGCACATGTATTAATTTAATTTATATTAAAAGGGGGTTAATATCTGAGGTCAATACTAACTATTCATAGTCATACTATAATTTCAATAATTTTGCTTCATTTCCCTCACTTTACATCACTCTATCCAATCACCACCCAAAAACTATTCTGAATAGATAAAGCAGTTGACAAACTTTTCTTTCAAAATCAAAATATATATGAGTGATTATTTTTTTAATGTATATAAATAATAAATAAAAATTTATCTTAGAACAAAAAAAAAGTGATAGACTAATCGGCGGAATATGCGCCGGTAAATTTCCGGCGTACTTTCCGTCGTTATGTTACTGGCACATATTCCACCGGCTTATTTACCGGCATATATTAAATTATGGTGCAATTTCTATCGAAAATTACCGGCAGAATTTCCAGCGTTGCCTTCATTTTTTTCACTGGAATTGCGCCGAAAGATCCGTCGAGAATGTTTCTGGTAGAAAACTCATTTAAATTTTCTAACGCGTGAATTACCATCACATGGAATTCCGCCTGAAAATTGTCGAAAAAGGGACATTTCTGACTGAATTTCCTTGTTACCGGCGGATCTATGTGGCTGTAAAAACAAAGAGGAACTACTCAAGACCCATCTAGAGAAGAAGATCATAAGAACACAAGGATATGATTCTCTTAGGATTTCATTATTTTATGAACCAAAGTAAAGGTTCGTCTTACATTTCAGAAAGAGGGAGAACCAAAGCACCTAAAGAACTGCAAGAAAGGAAAGGATTCAAGATGAATACCAAAGCCAAGCATCAGACTTGCCTATACACTCATCAAGTTAGGCCTATCAACTCTTCCTCTTCTTCAGCTTCCTGCATCTGCTCTCCTCTTCCTGCATACATTTGCTCTTCGAAATCTCCAAAAATCCACAGAAATCCATTGCTATTTCTCCTGACAAAGATCAGCTCAAACTGGTTTATGAAGAAAGATTAAAAATAAAATGAAGAAAAAGCAGCTTTTAGTTACTCAAGGAGGATAGATTCATAATCTTCTTTAAGAATATATGAGTGGAGAAGTGGAGAGGTCAGAGCTTGAGCTTTCTTTCCTAATGGATACAGAGTATAGACAATACTGTCACATCTCAATTTTATGAGACAAGTTTCATTCATCTTCATGTGATATGGAGCCCACATAATATTTTTTTTTATCAGGATCCCCTTAATAACAAATTATATCCGTATAACACTAATCTCAAAGCAAATCGAATATTTTCATATATGAATTTTATCTAACAAACTTTACATTCACCTTTATGTGATGTATGGAGGCCCACTTAATTAGAAATTTTGGATAAAATCTGATATGGGTGCTAAGAGCACCACCTTAAAAGTATTATTGTCAACTATAAAATAATTTAGGTAGTGGAAATTAACATAAAACAAGGATGGAATCCAATGTGGAGAAGAGATGCTTTGATTAGTATTTATATTGGCCTTATGGCATCTATTCAGTGCTAATATATTCCTTACCTAGCTTTATATATATATATTAACAAAAATGTTAATATATGACGAGTTGAGTTGCATAAAAGATTAATGAAGAAATAACAATCTACAAGAAGCCAATATTGGCAAATTTGGATGCAAATTGAATAGGAATATTGAGTGAGCAAAAATCAACAATCTCTATGAAGCCCTGTAAAGGTTGTCCATGGCGACGCTTGACCAGTGAATGATTGAGAGAGAAGGGAAACAAATGGGTTTATATATCTAGAAGAATATTAATTATTCTATGAGGACGTCATCCAGAGACAAATTAGAATGTGTCATGTCATCCCTTGCTCGGTACCGCTGCTCGGTACTATTGATATGACATATTCTGGTTGGTCTTCGGACAACGTTTTAGGTCCGGCCTCCGCAGAGAATAATTTCTCCTAGAAGAGATGATGGAATTGGACCAGAGAATCAATATCAAAAGAAAGAGGGTTCGAGGTCGGTTGTAGATTAGAAATTTACCTGATCTAGGTGTCGAGAGAGAGAAAAAACTGGCGGAAAAATTAACTTGGACTGAGAGATAGGTTATTAGACATTTGTGATCGGATCAAAACATTAGTTGAAAAATGAATTGCAAATAGTAAGTAAATCAATAGTGAATGAATTGATTGTAATACATATTCATTATTTAATCTTCTCTTTTTAAATTTAATAGGGTAAAATTGAGGCCAGCGTGACACTATTTTTCATCATAATTTTTTTAATGAGCCTAAAAAGAAATCATACCATTTGAAATATTAGAATAATTATGTCAACCATATAAAAAACACAATAATTACATCACATAACCAATTAGATCAAACCCTATAAATGAAGTGATCAAAGGAGCTTTGGAAAAAAATAAAGGATATATTGATTCCAATTTAATTGACATGAATTTAATAATTATTGAATTTATTTTGAAATAAATATAATATAAAATTTAATTATATTTTAATTTCTATTATTACATATATTTCTAAATAAATAATAATTATAAAATTCATATGAAGAGCTAAATTTTCTTCACCAATTTTTGTCAATCCCTAAGAAGGTTGAAAAGGAAGGCAGCGATCCCTTTCATCAATACAACAAATATTGTTTTGTTGCATCAGACGATGACAAGAGATCAGTTAAGCATACCCCATTTAATTATTTTTTATATACAAATTGTTTTTAAATATACAAAATTTCTAAAAATTTATTTTGGATATTTTTAAAATAAATATTTTTCTTTCAAAAATAGAAAAAATGAGAATATGTAAATACATACATTTTCTTAAAAATTAAAATAAAAAATTATAATATATATTTTTTTAAAAACAATTATAGAAAATTAACCTACATGATTGAGATTCATCCAATTCAAGCAAAAATTTCTTTGTAAAACAAGAAATAACTTAATATGAATTTTAAATAATAGTGTATATTTTTTAATTATTTATAAATATGATCAACAGGGTAAGGTTATTGTATCTATTTGTTGTAATTAAATTAAATCACTTCTCTAAATTAAATTATATAATTAACTAATTAAGGGGCATTATGGAGAGCACGTTCCCTACTTTTTTATTAACTTCAAATCATGAATTAAATATTTTTTAATTCACTGTTCTTTGTTTTAATATAAATTATAATATTAGTAAAAATTATAATATTCAGAATAGATTCAGATTATTTTGATTCTATTTAAGAAAAAATTATGGTTATTATT